GTTGTCGTTAGTAACAACGATGGTAACAGCATCGCGTGGCTCCGCTGTCCGCTTGTTTGTTTTCCACGTAAACCTTTCACAATAAAGTCTCAGGATCCTCTTGAGACTTTATAAAATAAACTGAATCACGGGAATGCAGAGAGTTTAGGGATGAGAAGCAAAAAAGAGCCGTCAGGTGCCTTCTCTTTGACCCCTAGCTGGTGTTGGGTGTGCATCGATTCCTGAGCCCATACGCTGCTGTGGGTGCCAATGGTTGTCGAATTTCCTTCACAACTCATTGCCATGCATGGCGATCGTTGGCGATTGTCCTGGCCTCATCGAGATTTATTCTGCCCCTGATGTCATCTTTGACCTGTTTTAGCCATGTTTTCTTTGGTGCCGTTCTGTGGATTCTCCACTGGGTGGGTTGTTTACGCCAGAGGAGTTGATGTGGTAGTCTGCTCGCATCCATTTGACACACATGGCCAAACCATCGCAATCAGCGTTTCTGAATTCGCCCCTCGATTGGCGGTTGGTTGCCGCATCGCTATCAGATGTCCTCGTTTCGAAGGCGGTCTCGAAGTGACACTTGTAATATCTGCCGAAGGCAGCGCATCTGGAAAACGTCGAGTTTTTTGAGGTCCGCTCCGAGCACCGTCCACATTTCAGATCCATAGAGCAATATCGGGAGGATCAGCGTCCGGAAACAGCGGATTTTGGTCGAGATGGAAATATTGGTTCGCTTCCACAAGCACCACTTTAGAGATTGCTGCAGTTGCGTGACCTATTCGACTGTGGATCTCTGCCGTGGAACCAACCTTCCTTTGCTCGATCAGTGAGTCCAGGTATTTAAACTGCTGGACTTGCTCTATTTGGACACCGTTGAGGTAGACATTGGCAGGCGACCCATCTGTTGTCATCTTGTCAGTGTTTATCTTGAAGCCATATGACTCGGCGGTGCGTGTGAGCTTGTATAGAGCATCCGTGGCTTCGGCGTCATCCTCGGCCAGCACAGTGCTGTCATCTGCAAACACGAGATCCGTCACGGTGCCATTTTCATCAAACTGGACTCCGCATCTGCCCCTGAAGACTCATGATGGCGTCGACTACGATGTTGAAGAGCAGCAGTGAGGCGACAGCGCCCTGGCAGACTGCAGTGCGGATGGTGAATTTAGTCGACAGCTCATTACGGCTGCGTATTTGGCTCGATGATCCGTTGTAATTTTCCTGCAGGAGCTTAATGACTTTTGGTGGGATGTGCTCGGTCTCCAGCGCCATCCAAAGTGCTGGCCAATCGATGCAGTCAAATGCGGATCGGTCAATGCGGTCATGGTTTCTGCTGAGAGGTTTTCACATGTAGGTTTTGGAGCTTTGAGCATCATCGACTTCCAACACAGTGAAGAGGAGGCAGACGTGTCCACAGCTAGCACATCAGACTGGACCTCGCCGCAGGTCCAGTCTGATGTGGATGGTCTGAGTGCTGCACGGGTTCACGGTTTAGGTGGACGTTACAAGGACAGATGCTGTGACAGCAGCTCTGAGCGGTAGCTCCGCCTCTGTGGGAGGAGACGGCGGCGATGTGCAGGAGACTCCACCTCAGAGACGAGACAGCTTGTTTAATGAAATCATCTTCATCATCATGAGTGATTGTTAGAGCCAACAGTGTGGTTTTCAGAATCTGTACAATTTTATTTTATAGGGTTTTAATTTTTAAATATATTTTTTGCTGTTTGTATTTAAAACAACTAATCTATTTTTAAACAATCCTTTTGTGTTTATTTTCTGATTTCTTTTCTCTTTTTTTAAGATCCTACTTTTATTTATCCTGAAACTATTTTGTCTGATTTATTTTTAATAATTATTTTATTTCATTATTTTATTCTTGTTTATATAATTTCTGATCTGTATTGTTGGAGGATCTTTACCATAAAAGTGAACCGACACCTGAATGTTTAAAATGTATTTGTGTTTACTTTTTATTATTGTTATTTTTCAGTGAGTAATTATTTTGCATCCATATGTATTAAATTCTATTATATGTATATATGTGTATGTGCTGGTTTGACTGGTTTGACTGGTTTGTGGTCTGTGCACGCGTCATTAATAACTCCTGTGGTCACTCAGCTGTGACGACTCTGACCTCAGGTGACCTCTGTTCAGCATGCAGTACGAATAAAGTTTGATTGACTCACAGCCTGTCATGTTTCCTGTTGCAGGTTTGAGGTGACAGTGATGCGGGCGAATGACAGCGGTGTGACGATGGCGTGCTGCTGGTTTGAAATTAAAGAGATCTGATTGGACGTTTCTCCCAGCAGGTGAGCGAACACCTGCAGAGACACCCATTATGTAACCGCGGCGACGCTTCAGCAGCAGTTTGTCCTGCAGAGTCAACTGAAGGAAAGAGATGGAGAGATGAACACACACACTTCTTTGTCAACTTTGCAGGGTGTTGCTAAGCAACCGAAGGAAATCTGAAACCAGAATAGCGATGTGAAAAAAATCAACAGAATGTAGAGAAAGATGCAGCTTCGCTGTTTCTCTCAGCTTTGCCGTCATGTTGGAACGTGTGGGAGATGAGGGGGAGGAGGGGGAGGAAGGTTTCCATCCAAAGCACAACCAAGCACGCTAACAGGAAGTTAGCGAGAAAACCAAATGAGCGCCGTGGTTTTATGAACGCATAACTTTACATGATGCTGATGTCATTAAACACACCTGTCTGAGCTCCCGCACGCTAACACGCTCATGTGACCAAGATCCAGACACACAGGTCATGTGATTTAGGTATGCAAAGTGGGACGGGCTTAAAAGCAATGAATACCAGCTCGCCATGAGGAGACGCTCAATGTTTGCTTCAGACAAATAATCACAAGAACAACAGTCACAACAATGAAGGTTTCACACAGACCGAGCTCGTCCACAAGACGCCACACCTGGATCACACACAGCTGGATCACACACCTGGATCACACACACCTGGATCACACACACCTGAGTCTGTGGCTCAGGTGTGTGATATGTTAGAGACATGGTCTGTGACTTCCTGCTAAAATCTAAAACTACAAGCTCTCCTAAACCTACTGGGCTTCAACCAGGAAGTGACATCATCATCCTTCATCACACCCCAACCTCCTAATATGTCTCTGTGCACAACACTGAGCATGTGTGACATGGACACAACGGCCAACTTGTGAAGTTGTAGTCGTGTGTTAGCTCATGAGCTAGCAGTGTGTGATGTCACTCCCGTTCACCCGGCCTGGTCAGCAGAGGCCAAGTTTGGGCCTCACGTTGGTTTTAAACCTGAGGTGAAGCTCGACATCACAGGAAGTTAATAATAATGTAAAAAAAACATTTTAAACTTTAGCTGCACAACGACTTTACTGCCTCAGAGGGTCTTTGGTTGTGGTGGAGGCTGGGTGGAGGTGTCGCTACATATGTATGCACGGCTGATCGTTACACTGAAGGCAGCTTTACTGACAGCTGATTTCTGTCATGATGAAAAAGAACAAGGTGACGATGGTAAATGGCCTGTATTTGTACAGCGCTTTACACAACATTCAGTCATTCACACACTGGTGATGGCAGCTACATCGTAGCCACAGCTGCACTGACAGAGGCGAGGCTGCCGGACACTGGCGCCATCGGGCCCTCTGACCACCACCAGCAGGCAAACATGGGGTTAGCATCTTGCCCAAGGATATTTGCCGTGCAGCCAGGAGGCAGCCTGGGATCAAACCACCAACCTTCTGATTAGTGGCTGACCTGCTCTGCCACCTGAGCTACAGCCAGCCACGATGCAGGTGATGTAGCATGTTCACTCCTCCTCCTCTGACTGCCTCTGACAGTCTGTGACTGATTTCTATGTGACGTCTCAGGAAACGCCCACTGAATCCACGTCTGTGCACCAAGTGAGCAGCACTGGCTCGCCAGTTAGCCATTAGAAATGGTGTCCTCCAGTCAAACGACACAAACCCCACAGTGACACAAACTAAGAGCTGATGAGGTTGCACACAGGATTTAAGCGAGGTCACACGTTCCTCACTCAGGTACAGGTACAGGCTAAAGTACTGATTTAACTTCAGTACTCGAGTAAAACAACAGGTTGCAGCATATATTTGTGGGAAGATGCTGATCGCACCTTTCTCAGGTGTGTCTTTCATCACGTTTTAAACTCGGTCACGTGTCACTGATGGAGCAATCAGATTGTGTTTCACGTCTTATTGTTTCTCAGATTTAAGGTGATGCATTTGTGTGAAGTGACAGAATCACCTGCAGTACGGAGCCCGTTTGTACCGCAGATACCTGAGGACTGAAGAAGAGTCGTCAGGTGTTTGTACCTCGTTACCTGACAGAGCGCATGCTAATGTTAGCCTGCTAGCGTGGTACTTCTATGTTGGGATCAGGCAGTTTGTATGAATCAGCCAACGTCGTCCATCCAAACAGCCTTTTCCAAACGTCACAGGCACACAGGGCTACAGACCAGTTAGCTGTTGCCTGGTAACTGCTGACCAGTACAGACACGTTGGTATTCACCGACAGGTTGGCGAGTGGATGCTGGAGGTTTGGTGACGGCTTCGGTCTCTGACAGACTGATGCAGATTACGGTGAAGCCATCTTGTCTGCAACCAGTTGCTAATCAGCTGTGAAACTAAAGGATGCAACTGTCTGCTTTCAGAATAAAAGCTGTGCTTCACAGGCTTCAGAAAGCACAGATTTTACTTTGAAGGCGAGCAGGTCCTGGTTTAAAATGTTTCAGCACAGCTCAGTGACTGTCTGCAGACATGTCGGCGTCTTGGTAAGAAAGCAATGGATCAGTGTGACTGTGTGAGTCGTGAACTCTAAAATGCCGAGCAGATGAATGAGGACTATTCAAACTACAGCTGCAGGGCTGTTAGCGTGGAGGTCGGTGAGGGTTCGGCCGTCACTACAGACGTTTAAGAGCTCGCCGTCGAGCGCTCAAACGTCTGGTGTTCTGATTCAGTCGCTAACGAGAGTTAGCATGTCTTAACGAGAGTTGTCCTCACCTCTGGCAGACAGCTTCTTGGTGTTGATGATCTTGGCGGCGTACTCCTGACCCGACAGGACCTTCACGCAGCGCCGCACAACTGAGAACGCTCCCCTGGAAACACGACAGGAGGAACCGATCAGGCAGATAAAGGACACAGCTCATCCTCTCAGAGTGAGAGACCTTCACTTTAAGTGAAGCACGGCTGAAACATGAAGCTAGCATGGAAACATGCAGTTCCTCTAACGGCCACAGGAGGCAGGCTCCATCGTCATAACGAGACCTGAGACGTCACCCACTGCTTTTTGGTGGAATTGCATCCTTTTGTTTCCAGGTGTGAACATATAAGGAGTACAGCGTGGAGTGATGTCATCAGCTAATGCTAGCTAGCATGGTTTTCAGTCTGCATACACAGATCTGAGGAAAAACGAGACACCAATGGTGGAGGCTTCACAAACTTCCATCTTTTATATACAGTCTGTGGTTTAAAGCCACATCTGTTCATCTCTAAAGAAAGACCAGATACATTATGGGAGAGATTGAAGATCTGTTTTTATAACTCAATCAGTGATCAATAACAGTAACACTGATGAACAGTTATTCACGACGATCCTTTTATGGCTGGAAGTGAAGCTGTAGTTTCTGCAGAAAGCTTTCTGTTTCTTATGAAAGCTGCATTCTGCCACCCACCATCACATTATGTAAGAGACCTGGCATTATGTGTGTGTCTGTGTGTGTGTGAGAGAGAGAG